GCCGAGAGTTCTGCCCGTAGGTGGCCAGACGAGGCTTCGTTTTTGTGGTTGCATTTCGTGTTAGAGTGCCTGCTGTGGGCGTCTCGTATTTGTTTTATTTCGCTTCTTTATTTTATTTATTTTTTGTTTCTTTTTCTGCGCTGGCTTAATAAAAATACATTTTGCACGTGGTGCGCGATGCTGTAACGGAGCACACACACACACACACATGGAGACCGCAAGAGGCTGTTCAGTGGGCCGTGCAAGTTTTTAGTACTTATTCGTAGTATTTGTTGTACTATCTGTGGGGATCTGGGTGTAGTCGTATGTCTGTCTACCTGTATGTATGTGCGTGTGTGTGTGTGTATTTGTATTTGTGTTGGCGTAGCGCAAAAATAAACCGCACACACTTACCAGAAAATCCTTCCGGACACGTACAGTTGTAGTAGGCAACACCGTCCACACATGTGCCGCCGTTTTGACAGGGGCCCGACCAGCATTCGTCCCAATTCGTTTGGCACTGGATCCCTGTGTAGCCGTCAATGCAGTAACACGAATACGAGCTGTACTCATTGTTGCAGTTGTTGTAGTAGTAGTTGTAGCAGTAGTAGTGGCAGTAGTAGTTGTTGTTGTTGTTGTTGTTGTTATCATGGCACATGCGGGAGTTGGCATTCGGTAGGTGTGGGCGCAACGGTGTGTCAATGATGCATCAAACGTTCAGCAAAAAAAGTTTTGTAGGCAAACCCATAAAATGAAAAAAAAGAAGAAGAGTAGAAAAGTGAAATAACAACAAGAAAACGTTTTAGATAAAAATAGTTTTACAAATAGCACAATATGGTGGAGCATGTAAAGACAGAGAGAAATGGAGATAGATTGAGAGTGAGAGCAGCACCTACACTGTGAGAAAATTCAAATTGCAGCCGTAAAGCAGAGTTAAGCTAGAATGAGGTGTACTAAAAGATTAATATATGGAAAATAATTTACAGGGAATTTCGTTTTCATGTTGACTTTTGAGTAGCATAGGCTCTATTTAAATAATTTCACTTGCAATCTGTTGAATTCAGTTTTTAGATTTATCTTTAAAATCCTGTTAATATGTTTATAAAATTTTTAAAGCTTTAATGAAGCGAATATGAAAACTAAGAAAAACTTGTGAGGCTTTAATTTTCAAATGAAAATGTATCTTAGCTTTAATCCGCTTTAAGAGTTTTTCCTCCTATTACATACACTTCAGGTCAAGTTGCTTGGAATTAAAAAGCTTTTAAAAGCTGTCATTCCATTAATCCTTTGGCTTAGCAAACCACTTCGCTTCACTCAAGGCTTTCATATGCCGTCATAAGCTTGAGCAATTGAAATTCAACCCCATTTTTGTCTCAGTGTAGTGTGAACTGGTGTTAACACCATTTGTTAGTAATTGGAGTGGCTGTGTAGCAGTGTGTGTGCGCGCATACTATTGTATGTTTATCTAATAGGAGGGAATGTATCTGGATTTTTGCTCAGTGCTCTGGCGAGTGCGATAAACATGGCCAACGTACTCGAAACATTACGCTTGAGTAGTGGAAATAAATATTTGGTAGCCAATTGGGATTAGTTGTTCCAGCTAAGAGTGAATTGAAATTGAAAAGGAAATGGCTACGACAGCAGCAACAGGAGTGGTAACTGTAACAGTAACGGTAACATATCGAAACTGGATCCGGTGTCAGGGGAATGTCACCGACATGCCTCAACATGCCACACACACACACACATACTGCCTTGGCCTGGCCCCACTCCTGCCCACTCCCGCTCTGTATAAGTTTTTTTTTTTTGCCCACACAGCTTAATTAAAGAACTTTTGTTGCAGACATGTAGCAGGCAGTCTTTTATTATGGATCACATTAGGATGCATTTGTATAGCACTGTTTGGAGAAAGCACTGAATTGGGTAAACAGCAGCAACAGCAAAAGCAAGAGCAAGAGCAAAAGCAGCATCAACATTTTTACTATTGCCTTTGACATGGACTTGCTTGCCCCAGAGGCCTGTTGATTTGTTGGCAAGCCGAATAGAAGAACCAAAAAAACAATTGTACTGAGTAGATAAATGGCCTTGGGGCATCGCATTAGCTAGCAGCAGCAGGAGCGGCAGCATCATGTATGTTACATGTGATGGCTTGGCTACATGGCAGCAAAAGACGAATGAAACAATGCATGCATTTTCGAGTGATAAATAGTTTAGACAATTCGTATACAATGAAATCCTTTTGAGTGCTAACATAATATTAAGGCTTCGTAAAGGACGCAGATGAGAATTGCAAAGAAAGGCGGTAGCAATTTTACGGTTGTTGCTGTTGGTTTTTAGTGTAAATTGAAATGGGAATATTTGATTTAATCTTAAGCTTTTGCTTAACAGTCACTCTGCTACATATTTCAATTTACCATTTCATAAATCTTAAAGCTCTCCTAATATTTATTTCAAGCATGAATATCTTTTATCTATGCTTCATCTTTCACATCACTCGATATGCATTTTAAATGTATTCCAAGCATATTTATCTTATAATCTTAAAGTTTGGCAAACCTCACACACTCGATTAAAGCTCATCTTTGCCTTTGTCCATACCATCTATCTATATAACGGCAAATTTGTTAAAGTTTCATTGGCCAAACTGTTGGCAAACAAATTTGTTGAGCATTTCATTTGAGCAGTTTAACGACGGCCATAAAACTTATTCATCTCTGATACGAGTCATAAATACTGCTATTGCCGCAAACTAGTTGAACATAAACCACGATAAGCCAATAAAATATCAATGTACGCGGATAAGTCTAGTGCGCTGGCGGCCAAAACCGAATTTGGCCAAAAAAAAAAGAAAAAAAGAAAAACAACTTTAAGATGGGCCAAAAACTATTCAGTTAATCCGTTTAAATCTCATGGAATCGTGTTAAATTTAATTGCAGCTATAAATTTTTCTTGGCAGCGCATAAACTTCTATCCGGCTAGTTGGCTGCCTCTCTCTTTCGCTGTGTGTGTGAGTGTGTTTGTGGCGCTCTAACCCCGCACCATTGCCACGGCGCCACCACGAAATGGCGGTTATGTCAAGAAAAGCGCTCTAGAAAACATTTCAACCGTCTGCTTCGACTCGCATTTGACTTGCAGCTCGCCGTGAAGCTATCGTAAAAAGTATCGTAAACGCTTTTTATGCTGCAAATTCACAGACTATGAGACTGGGTGGCCCTAAGCTTCGCTCTGTTGAGGTTTAGAGTTAGCTCAGCTCCCATTTCTGGCCACATATCGCGGCAAGTTGAGAATAAAATGGCAGTTACTTAGTTGTATGAGCAAGGAGCATTGTCAGCTGTTTGCATCATCTTTGGCTTGTTTGTGCAATAATATTTATAGCTGTGCATATGCCATATGCACTGCAGCTTAACTTAAACAGAATAACTAATGTACATGGCGTCGAAATGGGCAAAGTTATTGAACGTAAACTCTCAATTGAAACTGAGAGGCCAAAGTTCGCTTGGGCTTCCATTGGCGAATAGCAGCTTCAAGTCTCAAATATTAACTTTAAGTTAAGCTTTTATCTTTGTATGTCTTTATAGATGGCAGTATATATAGATATGAAGAAGCTCATATTAACAATATGCAAATATGCTTTATATCTTTTTCACTATATTCACTTTCTCTATGGATTGTAAACTCATGTTAAAGTAAACGAATTTGTTTGTATAATATGTAGACCATGGCCTTCCTTCAGTGGCTGCAGCTCGCATCTTCGTTGTGGACGTGGTTAAACTGCTCATTTAATATGTCTTATTGAGTCGTCTTATTT